AAAAATTAAGAGCTTCAACTTGATAAAAGACATAGAATCCTTGGATGTTTTGGCAATAGCAAGTAGCTTATTTGAGTACCTTTATAAAAAAATAAAAAAAATAAAATGGTATTCAAATTATTTTAACGCAATTGCTGTTTTAAATGAGCATAACTTGCACAACCCTTAAATACCACAATAATACGTGATTAATCAATATTGAGGTGTGCAAATCTTTTCCCAATCCAATCAAAATCACAAACGCTACAAAAATGTACAATGGGTTGAATACGGGCTTGCTGCTTTTCAGGCCTCATTCGCCCGCAAATAATCGACGCTCACTGTTAATGATTGGCACGTTGCTGCCTTCAATAAATTGTTTTTTTCACAGCCAGAGCCATTTGCCACTAGTCGAACGACATATATAACAATACCTTAAACAAATACTCGACCAGTAGTCGGCTCAACTGCCAGCCATTGTTGTTTTTGTGTGGGTGAACTGGCAAATGGACCAATGTGACGTATACATAATATTTCATTTCATTTGTACAACACAGCTGGGTGCTCATGTGCAGAGCATGTGCGTATGTTTACTTTAACATTGGTATTGGCATAACAAAGGTAAAGTTGCAACGACGCCTACAAACGTTTACGCAAAGGTTCAACACCGTTATTTATTTAATTGCATTCAATTTGCGGTTAATTGTTAAACAATGGCTAGCATTGAAAGCTCTGAACACTCACTTCCTTCGCTACCACAATATTCGCTCAGAGCTACGTTGCTGAAAGGCTATGAAAACATGTGGCAGAGGAGGCCCAAAAGGTCTTGGAAAGAGTTAGTGTCCTCTGGATGTTCGCTCAGCTGGTCAAGTGTGTTTGTTGTATAAACAAATAAAAGTGCGGTTTTAATTGAACTTAAGTGGCGTTGGTCGTGCTCTTGACATGGCATGGAGTTCCAGCACGCATTCTCGCACTTGATGACTGCACAAATTTTTCTACAAATATGTTTCCAAACTACGTTTAAACAAGTAAGAGGTTCCAGTCCGGAGCTCCCGACTAGGGGATACCATGAACCCTCTTCTTCCAACACCAAATGCAAATATACATACTATTCTAGAACCAACATGTCAAGTTTGGTGACTCTAGCTCTTATTATTTACAAAAATTGCCCAAAAAACAGTCTTTCGATATAGATTTTAATCAATTACTTGGAAACGGGGCAAGTTATCGATTATCGGAAGCAATCTCGATCTGTGCAGGCACTAGGAGGACCCACATCTAAAATTTCTCTAGCTCTTATAGGTTCTGCTATCCTTGCGTTCATACATGCGGACGGACGGACAGAAGGACGGACGGACAGACGGACGGACGGACATGGCTAGATCGACTCGGCTTTTGATGCTGATCAAGAATATATATACTTTATGGGGTGGGAAATGCTTCCAAAAAGTAGTTACCTCAACAAATGTATCTAGCGGGTATGACGTGGCCATGCCCATGATACGTATATAATAATTAAACAAAGACCGAGTTATGTGGGTGGGAAATTTCGACCTATGTCAATATAGGATATTTTAGAGTACCATTTTCAAATGAATTTTGACCAAGAATAATGTCACGAGATTTATATGCCACATTGATCTAGAGGATGAAATTTGACCGAGATCAGTCAGTCAGAACAAACAGTTTTATATATAGAGATAATTAATACTGCATGTGTTTATAATACAATTTAAAATCATGGACTGCTACGTGGCACACCGAAATATAGAACTAAAATTAAAATTTTAACCAAGAACTAACTAAATAAATGTAATGTTTGTAAGGAATGCATAGGTTTACGATGCGATATTGTTCAATATGTAAAGAAGGAACTTGGGAACTATACGTGTCAAAGTTTTGGAAGTTTAAACTCTACTATAGAAATTTACTAAGAATATTTAGCTTTACAATGCATATTTTTGACATAAAAATAATCCACCCATAAACGATAACAAACAAGTTGTTCAACTTGGAAAAAAATTTTGTTTAATAATTTAAATTATCATAATATAATGCTATACAAACATATTGCTAAATGATTTGCAATTTTTAAAACAGGCAGGCACTTCCACAAAACTGCCTTATTTATTGTTACGTCCGCATTGACTCTACAAATCTGCATTAATATTTGAAATTAAATACCTTCATTGGCGCTAATCAACGAAATCTGTATGCGCCTTTTTGTATGCAGTTAAATTTGATATCAAAGTTAACCAAGCTACTTATATAAGCGTTCGCATTCAAAATTTAAATGAAATTTGTTACAAACACGTTACACTTTGCTGCAATAATCCATTGTACACATTTAAGCCCGTGGGCAAATGCTCCAGCCCACTTTAAGATGCCTACAAAGCAATTTGCCAATCTAAAATCGATTTCAAGCGGCACCGCTGCCCCTGCTTTTGTGGTTAAACACGGCATGCACATAATTTACGTTTTTATCGCTAATTCAATGCCATCGGGTCATTTATAAAGCATTTCAGCAATCAGTTTTGCGTGCGTATGTACTTATGCAATTTAGTGCCCGATGAATTGCAAATTATATTCATGTTCCTAAACATTAGATTTTAATTTAAATAAACATATTAACCTCAAATAATCCTAGTAAAATGTTTTGAAAAGTGAGTATAAAAATTACAGCGTATGATAGACGTTTTTCAGTTATTAAATAGCTTAGCTATTAATTATTTTGTAAAGCAATCTAATAAACGTAAGTTTTCATTAGTATCCCCCCCCCCACCACCACCCTCTCTCTCTTCCAAAATTGGATACATCCATTCAGTATTAAAGCAATAGCGATAGGGTCTACAATAAACAGTATAGTTATAGATTCATTACGACTTGCGGCTATGAAAACTAAAATAGCCTTACACTTTTAAATAAATGTGGATTAAACAAAGTTTTTATCTGTGCTAAGAGAGGTTTAACAAGATTATGATCGGTACATTCTGCAAGCTGCACAGACCCTTAACGATATGGCTGAGAAAACTATTTTATTTTGTCACAAAACGTATTTATTTGTCAGGATAGTTTTTCATTCGTTCCATGACTTTGATTATTTACTATTGAAATTTATACTTGATATAAACACATTAACTTTAAACTTTATGAGTTCCTGTGTCCACGGTTTTCTCCATTCCTCATGTATCATATGAAGAATGTAAAATGTGTCATTACTGATACGAAGTGCGAAAATTCTATGCCTAGCTAGTTTTGTCTAAATATTATATTAAATATATATTCACTGTTATAAAATAGTGAAGCATTTGCTCTTCACTATACTTTAAGTGAAATTTCTAAAAGCACTTGGTTAGCATAGTTCTGGCTTCTATGCTTCCGTTGAAATTCTCACACCAAGAAAAGCAACAACAATTGAGCTTATTTCCGGCGGAAGTATCAGTGTTTGGCAATTTCCGGTATGCTACTGGCTAAGCATCCATTTGTCTATGCACGGCATCTCACCAAGGCAATAAATGTTAATACTTATTAGGTACATGCCTTCGGGAATAACAGTCAGCAAACTTCTACTGAGGGCCCATAAAAATAAACAAGCTCTTGTCATCAATAACTCGCTATAAAGTAAAATGAATGCCTTTGTTTTCATCTGCTCGAACTTCTTTAAAGAATGGGTTTCATTGGTTCTTATAATCAACATCAATCTTGTATATAAATGCATTTTGACAGCATTCGCATATAATTTATATCAATTATTCAAATAGTTTCGCTGCAACCAAAATCTGTTCATCCTTATCAGAAACGGCAATCTTAATGCACATTTATTACGATTCATTAATAACGTCATAAACAAGATGTCTGGAAATTTTTCTTACTTTGGGGAAAAGATGGGAAATCAATGCATATTGAATGTATTTGACACGTTTTCGGACAGAATCAGCAAAGCCATAGGGAGGAGCAAATTAAAAACTCTTATACAAAACAAAACAAAACAAGTAAGAGGTTCTAGTCGGGAGCTCCCGACTAGGGGATACCCTGAACCCTCTTCTTCCAACATCAAATGCATAAATATATTCTATTTTAGAAGCTATATGTCAAGTTTGGTGTCAAGTTCGGTTTACCAAAATTGCCCAAAAAACAGGATATCGATATAGATTTTTATCGATTGCTTGGAAACGGAGTAAGTTATCGATTATCGGAAACAAACTCGATCTGCGCGGGAACTAGGAGCATCTTCATCTAAAATTTCAAGTCTCTAGCTCTTATAGGTTCTGAGATCCTTGCGTTCATACATACGAACGGACGGACTGCCAGACGGACATGGCTAGATCGACTCGGCTATTGGTGCTGATCAAGAATATATATACTTTATGGGGTCGGAGATGCTTCCTTCTGCCTGTTACATACATTTGGATTTTGCACAAATACAATATACCCTTATACCCATTTTTAATGGGTTCAGGGTATACAAATATTTGATTTTTGAAAGCGAATTTTAAATACTCCTGTGAAAATATTTGTCTAATGATGTATGTCGTTGTTCAGATGAAGTATTTATATACTCCTCCTTCAATGCGTCAAGTATTTTGTGACAGCATTATTATTCCCTGTAAGAGAATTGAATTTACTCTTTTATACGATTATTGTAGATTAGAAAATACCCTACCCTCTGGCATAAAGTTTTGCCTAATCAGTTTGAACGCTACTTGTAGCCATATTTACAGCAGGGCGGAGATTGACCATCTGAGGAACGTTTTTAGCTGAATAATCCTAGCCTTATCTAATTAGGAATATTTATACATAAGAGTCGCTATTGTCTCCTTAGCCCTATAAGATAATGTTCCAATTTCATGATCACAGGGTATTGTTAATAATCAAGTCAATAAACAAATGCTGAACGAATATCTGTTTGCTTTAATTAGGTCTGTCTGACGGGCGGTTAAAGGTTATCATGTTATCATTGCGACTTAGCTCGGAGATTACAATTTATTTGAATATAGTGGAAACCAGCGGGCGCATTTCTCAGTCGACGGCTGCAAGCGTAAACATTTTGAAAATGAAACTTTTGCTATTTGTATTGGGGCTCTGTACTGGCGTTCTGCTGAGCGCCGCTGAGGGGAACTTGCTAACACGTCTACTGCACCGGGATACGAAATCGTCGACGACATCGACGACAGAGAAAACAGGCAATCAGCTCTATATAAATAACAACTTACCAATCGTGGAGGCGCAATGCACTGCACATTATGCATGTAGTAAGAAGCTTACAAATGTGGCAGCACCACGTCCATGCGTTAAGTACTGCCTGAAACGCATAGAGTGCCCCAACAACCAGGTGATTCGCGGTAAGCCTAATCAGTGCGTGGAGCTAGACGAGACCCAAGTGTTGGCTGACTATGAAGCAACTACTACGAAACCATCGTCATATGATGGAGCAACAACCGAAAAAATTATGGAGGTTGCTATGATTGATTTTCCCTGTCAGCCAGGCTACCTGCCTGACAGCCGTGGACGCTGCCGTGAGATATGGTGATCTGATCAGTAAGACACAAAAAGAAATCAAGTTTTTACCGTTCGCGACATTTTTACCTAGAGCTTTGAAATTGTAATGTAGAGTAATAAAAGTAAAACGAAATACCCATTAAAGAATTGCAATCTAATGGTGGAGTGCCGTTATCCGAACTATTTTGCCTTTTGTTTTTCCACAAAAACAACAGAAGCAACAAGTCATAAAACTAACAAATTTTAACGAACATAACTGTGATGTTCTGTAACATGTTAATCGTGTAAACTTAAATATAAAATTGCTATGCTTTTGACAGGCCCATGAGTGGACAATATAGAGACAAGTATTAAAATTAGCAAATGACAAGGCGTAGACACAAACAAGACGAATACTGCGACTTATCACGTGATTGACGCATGTTTCCACAGAGGAATTCAAATGTTAATATGACGCGCACCCAGCTGAAAAAGGGCAGGCGACTGGCAAAGTGAAATTTTATGACTCCGTCATGTTAATTGTGTAGCTTTGACGAGTTCATTCTCGTTCTTGTTATTATTAGTTGGCTGTTGGAACATTGTTGTAAGCCATAATTTGTGCGCTTGTAACTCACAATTTTAACAGTCAAGTCAAACGCAACTAACTTTATTAATTAACTATGCGGGCACCAAGTTTGACTCAATTTACGCTCATTCTTTTTGTTTTCTTGATTTCCGCTTCCGACGCCAGCAACGAAGAGAACGATGACGAACCTAAACCCTAGCAGTTTACTTTAGCTTGGGCTTATGGTAATCAGCCCAAACGAAAATTCCAACCATCCAAACGCTACCACACCCCTAACCCAGCCTAGCCCACCTGTGTCTGGGTCTGGCGTGGCATTTGGAAATTAAACCGCACTTAGCCCTTAAAATTTTATAACTTAATTTTTGTGTTGCACAGTTGTATTTTTTCTTGTTGCTGCTTTTGGCATATTTGTGAACTTTTTGATTTGATTTTTGCTTTCTACCACTCCGCTGATTCGCTTCTTGTTGCTCGTTGTATGGTATTTGTGTTATGCGTGTTGTCTTTTCAACAATGGTAGTATACTTTGGCCTGGTTTCGGCTTGCGCCTCTATTCTATACAAATTTGGCATGCGAATTATAATAATAAACTGCTGACATTTATTTTATACAGGAAAATATTTTGCGCTGATAAGCTTGATCTATAGCTACAGGAATTCAAATGGACTGCGATAAGGGCAATGATTTTTTAAGGATTAAGCCTACGGGCGTGCCAAGCACTCATTTGAAAGTGATTGAAAGGCAACATAACTCAATCGCTTGGGGTTAATTGTACACTTTACGAGATTTAAATGTTGTGCTCTTTACATGCGCAGCTTCGGTTTATTTGGTTTCCTTCGTTACAAAACAAACCAAAAATAAAACATTTCATATAACATCAAAAATAATGAGATTCTATGCATTTTGAATACCATTTACAAGTACCCCGTGAACTGAAAAATCTCAGCACAGCTTGTAGTCAAAGGCCAGCGCAGGCAAATAAAGCAAATAAAAACAACTATTAATACAACAGAGAAGGCAACGACAACTGAACAAAACCAAAGAATTTTCATTAAAATTCTCATTTAGCTGCGCAATTATTTCAGTGCAGCAATTTTAATAACACTAATTTACCTTCAGTTTTCAACTCGCTCTTCCTATAATGCGGAAAAACGGAGCAGAGGTAAAATCTGCAAAGCTGAAAGAATAAAACTGAATCAAAAAAATATCATGCACTGATGAATTCTTACTCCTTTTCACTTATTCCCTGGTTTATGGACGTGGAAATCCAAATGTGTTCTTTTTTTCAACTAGCCCCAACTCAGTCCATTTACAAAGTCTGTCATCTTAAAAGGGACATTAAAAATAGCAGCAAAACCAGCAACAAATTTGCACTCTTGTTAAGTTCTTTGCATTGCACGTATAGTATTCGCTTTCGGTACGATGTTAAATGTTTAGATCACTTTCTTATGTTATAGGTACAAAAATAAAAATTTTAAATGCTCTGATTGTAATTTATATTAAATTTTAAATGGTATGTTGCATGGGCTTTAAAAGATTTCCCCCTACACATATTTAAATGATGAAATTACTTCAATTAATTTTCCAGAAACACAGTTATACATTATTAATGTTCAGATATAACACACAGAATATACACACATAACAAAATTGGTTGACACAGCGAAGGATGCAAATCCCCTCAAATTAATTGAGAACTCAATTACCAAAATCCAGGTCGGAGAGGAGATTAACACAAATCTCGTCAAAATTAGCATTTCAGTAAAAACAATAAAATTACTTGCCGATTGCGAAATCTTGTAAATTTTTTGTCAATGCCGTTCGCTCTAGGAGGGCTTTAAGTCTTTTAGGATTACTGCTAAGCCTTGATAATTTATGCAAAGTTTCTAACTAAGGAAACTTCTGAGTAACTGAGATATTTGTACAACAAATAGCTATCTCACATTTAAGTTTAATACGAATGGTAGCAAAAACTCACCCAGGCCAATTATTTCCACAAATGGTATAGCTGTAAATTAAAAAAATACCAAAATGATAGTATTTATATATTGATTTCCATTTAAATATTTTCTGTATTACAAAAGTAAATAAGTACATAGATAAGAATAGTAAGTAAAATACAAAACACATTTTGGTTAGGATATCTAAAAACTTTAGAACTTACTAGGTCTACCCCTCACCTTACGCTCTTGGCAATATGTTAGTACTAATAACTAATGGTTATGTTTAACTACAAAAGATAAAAAACTACAGAAAGGTTGTGATTTTACTCATTGGTATCTCACTTGATAAATTTTCGGCGCTCTCGCTACTCTACTTAATATTTTGTTGACCGTGCGCTGAATTAAGTTCGCCCACATTGGTCAGTGGGCCTGGTTCTGATGAACCGGGTGTCACAGGCGTTTCAGCTACGTCCTCAGGATCTCCATGTTTAAGCCAGAGCGGCGCAAGACGAAGCATCAAAATAGCACCCAACGGCGCTGTGAAAATAATGGCCAGAACCGAAATTATGAGCACGTTGTTAGCCAATGTTAAATCACTTGCGACTTTGGCTGAACGAGCCAAATCTAAAGCAACCGGACCCAAGGCAGCCTGCGAAGAGAAAGCATTTTAAATTATGGTAGATCCTTACAATTTTATGAAGACTGCTTATGCTGTTCCTGTATGTATACAATTGCGAGTGCATGCGCAAATGAATACAATTTTAATAAACGACATACAGGTAGACATAACGAATTGCACAACCAGTGAAATGCAGACTGCATATTAAACATTATTTAAGAAGTACAAATTTACGGTCATCCCTCGAAGAGCACTGCGTCGCAACAAGAAGCATGTTAAAGCCGCAAACAGCAGGTTGATAGCCAAGTAAATGTAACATTTTCATTCTGGCTAACCACAAAAGAGGTGCGAAACATAAACGCGTACGCCACAAGGCGCACGCTCTTACATATGTTTGCGCTCGCAATGCGAACGAAATGTCCTCTTGCGCTGCAATTGCAGACAACAACGGATTCAACCACAATAATATTATCATACAAACTCGAAGTATAGCGTTAGCTTTTGAGCAAAACAAATAAAACCCAAATAATGGCTTGCCTAAATCAGTATAGCCAATGTCCAGTAACCATGCCGAACTTTCTCATTGTCATTATACCTAGTACAGCAGCCGCAGCGTCGGCATAGCAGTTGAAACGGTAAACTTACTTGGACGGTTGCTTTGGGAAAACCGGAAATTGTAATGTAAGCACGCTCCTTTCTTGACAGATTTCCGCCATATGTAGATAAATATGCAAAAGCTAAGCGGAGCTGAAACGAGACCAAGAGAGAAAGCAGTCAAGATTTTTCTATGCTTAACAGTTTGCATTGCCTTACAGCTATTATTTAAATTTTAATTTTTAAGTATTCTTTAATAAATTGAGTGCATAACCTTCAGTCCGACAGCCGCAAAGGCCGACAAGCCAACAAAATATTTTCATACACAAACTAATGGCACCAGAGAGGAACAGTTACTACAGCGGCGTTGCCGGTTATTTTAATTACCAAACTTCCAAATAGTACCAGCAGCGCTCCATAACCAATTACGCGACCTTCAAGCACGGCAAAATTGATTTCCTTGCCAATTAGTGCAAATGAGACGGGTTTAAGAAATTTCCACAGCAGATCCAGACGCTTAGGAACACTTGCCTAAAACAAATATTTCGTTAATGAGAATTAATAATGAATATAAAGTCAAAACGTGCAATAATATATTTTTATTAATTTTACTAAATTTTGTGGCAATATTTAGTTATAAAGGCAAGAATAATGTATCTTGCTAGATAATCATTTTAAATTCAGATAATCTTCACGAAATATATATGGAATTGCTGACTTCCAGCAAATAAAGAAAGTTTTGTTTAAACACTAAATATGCTATAAAAGGCAACGCTGACGAGCTGGGTACTTACTATTTGAGTTGCTTGCATTTGATATGGGGTCAGTTTGAGCTCCTCCCTTTTCCAACCAATGCCTGCTATAAAGGCCAACATTACGCAACCTAAGGCACCGGCTGAAGTATAGCCGATAATTCGGCTGCCCATTACAGCTATTGAGCCACCCAAGATTGTCAAAGCAAAGCGCAGTCCATTTGCATAGACCTGGAAATAATGGATGAAAAGGAAAATAATTTCAATGATAAGCAAGTGTGCTAAGTCGATGGTGAACAGGTCTAGCCCCGCTCATTCATTTACAAGCATATATACAAGCGCCTTTGCTAAAAGCAAGTTCTTTAACATATTCTGTGTACTACAAAACAAAAAGTTGGGTATGGGTGTTCAAATAAACCTAATATGTACTGTATGCATTTACTCAACCGGGTTTAAGCTAGCAACAGTGAAGTTAATTAACAACTAAGTACTATAATAGAATCATTAAATTACGAACAACGCGGACGAAGCTTTTTAAATTTGAGTTAAGTATCAAAAATAAAAATGTATTTGTATCCTAAATACAACATACAGTGAAATCTGGAGACGACTGTCCATCTCCAGTTATTTGATAGACATCGAAATCGAAATTCTTCAAATCAGTTCAGTTTTTAATTTTTGTTCACTAGTTGCATTTAAATGCTTTTTTCTTAGTACATTAAAGAAAAGGCGTATATTTTTCTCTTGACATACATTCCAAGATTGAAGTCTCGACGACGATCATACAGAGAGACGGGCGGTCAGCATCACGGGCACAAAACTGATACACTCTAACAAGTGAACAGAATAAGAAAAGAAAAAACCAGGACTTGATGGCAGCCACAGAAACCCGCATGCACACTGACAATAAATAGTGATAGTTGCGAATATATGCATGAATGCAAGTGGTGCGTCTTAAAAGGAACACAGCATGACATTTTTATACCGACGGCAGTTTCGCGTAGTGGTTATAAGAAAAAACAAAAGTTATGAGGGGTCCATGTATATGCACATGTGTGAAGATCCATGTTTATGTACATGTGTGAGGGCGTGTGTATTTCCGAGTTCAAAGCCATTCAGTCCCACCCATGGCGTTTGATTATGCGCACCATTAGCGGTGTAAGTTGCGGCAATGAGTTTTGTGGCTGCAACGAAGCTGTGTTGCCGCACGCTGCTTGCATCGCAACTGCCTGCATCACAACTGCCATAAGTTCCATGGACGCTGGCAGTAACTGTCGTCGCAAATGTCTCCAGCTCCAGTGCCATCGTCGACATCGTCGTCGCATTGGGTGTAAGCGTGTTTTTATGCAAAATTCGCCCAGGCACAAACACGCACAACGACACATATTCTTATATACGTATATAACATACATACGTGTTGAATATCTAAGGCCTCACACTACGTTTTCCAAGAAAGGATTGTGGTATGTATGATAGCTTTCGGAGCCTTACGCCACTTAATAACATTGCGGTGTCGCGAGTTTTGTACCATTAAATGCGCTGATTGAGTGTAGTAAGTGCTCACTGAATGTACTTTTTTAATGCAGCGCGATGCAGTGAAAGTATATTATAACTGTTTTGTACTGGCGTCAGAAACAGTGCTGAGCTCCACCCATGGCTTACCGCATTCCGCGACGGCAAATAGTGAAGCATCATGCCGTAAAGATAGCCGAAAACAAGTCCAATACCAATACCAATGGGTCCTTGCAATACTTTTTGTGTCAGTGAGCCTGAAAGTATACAAGCATGCTTATTCTCTTTTGCATTACAGCAGAGAGTTGGTTTTAAGGTGGCACGTACTTGTGGAGAATATAATGCTGATTACGACGCCAAACATAAAGATAGCTACGACGTCATTGCACGTGGTCATAGCGTATATTAGGGTGTGTATGCCACTGTTCAGACCCAGGCGATCCTCCTTTAACTTAAGCATGACAGTGACGACAACATTGGGTGAGACTGCTGTGATGACCAGGCTAGAATACAATCACGTGATACATTTTTCAACCAATATACCTCGTAAGTACTTACCCCAGAGCTATCCCCCACATCCAGGGCATGGACAATGTAAAATAGGCCAGCACAGCTATAACGGCAACCTCCACTATTGTCGGAACGAGTGTCAGTCGAAGAATCATAAGCCACAACCGCCTAAATGCACTGCCATCAAGGCCGAGGCCAGCTAGCAGCATGATATTGGTCAATGCCAGTTCTCTGCAAAGTCAACTAATTAGTGATAGCATTTAGCCAGGTGGTGTCTACACACTTACCTTAAAAACAGTTCAAAGCGCTCATAACCTTCGAAATTGGCCAAGCCAATATTGGTGTAAAGGACACCGAAGAAGAGCATGCCCAGCATGTCTGGCAAATGTATAAAGGTAACTAATATGCCAGATATTTGAGCACCAACAAAGAGTAGTATAATGCGCATTATCACTGTTTCAGGTGTAGCATACTGGGGTAACAATGCCAAGGCCAAGGTCCAAAGCGCTAGAAAAATCATAAGCAGGGCAATATGCTCCGACACAAGAGACCAGTGAACTACTAAGCGACGCCACCTTCGAAAAATAAGTGCATCAGCTACATTAAATGGCTTATAAAACATTAAACTTGGCTTATATCTGCCAACTTATCGTTAGCAGAACATCTAAACACGACCAGAAATAATTTCCGTAAATGGCCTTTTGTGCTTGTTTCTTAATTCATGACACCCTAAATGTTGCTAATTATCCAGTCACGCCGGTAAATAAAAAACCCTTCGTACAGAATATTTCAGAATAGAAATGGAAAACCAATCGCATCGCACACAAGCTACCCATTGGATCATGCAACTCTGCGGGGTCTGACCCTGGCCGCAGGAGGAACACAACAATTGACTCCATGAGCAGCGTGTTTTCAAATAGCGATTTTATTTATATCTGCTTATAAGTGTAGGAGTTGTCTACAGCAGCAGCATAGGAATATTGTTTCTCAACGACTATGTGCTTCCATTTGCCTATTTTTTGCCTTTTGAGTGACAAAATGACCCTGGCCATTTTAATGCCTATGGTTACAACAAGACTGATATGACGCAGACCTGTGTCTCAAATGTGACCCTGGACACGATCGGGTGTAACTTATTGTTTCATTTATCGTTAATGAATCGATTAATGAATCGTTTGCTGAAAGGGCTAAAGAATGTGGACAACGATATGAAATTTACGCAGAAGCTGCGGATGATCTTCACGTTACACGATCGCGTACGCAGGTCACCAAATCGATCTTCGTATGCTTGAACTAGAACTAAATTTGTTGATCAATTTTACATATTAATTTTCGAGGTTCAGACACTCGTTTCACCCTACATTCTCTCCCAGATAGTTGCTTTAGTAGCTATCGTCTACAGCACGTTGGGATACAGGCCAGTCCCGGCCAGTTTATAGCCATACTACAATTTCTGAGTGTCATGGTCCTTCAAATTTTGAATACCCTGAACCCATTGAAAATGGGTATTTGTGCAAAATGCAAATGTATGTAACAGGCCGAAGGAAGCATCTCCGACCCCATAAAGTATATATATTCTTGATCAGTATTAATAGCTGAGTCGATCTAGCCATGTCCGTCTGTCTGTCTGTCCGTCTGTCCGTATGTATGAACGCAAGGATCTCAGAACCTATAAGAGCTAGAGAAATTTTAGATGTAGGTCCTCCTAGTGCCTGCGCAGATCGAGTTTGTTTCCGATAATGGATAGCTTACTCCGTTTTGAGCAAATTGGGTAAATATTAAGATCTAGAGTCACCAAACATGATATGTTGCTTCTAGAATATTATATATATATATCAAGTATCTTTCATTTTATACCTATCGCCACCTCCCCGCTACCACCGCAGAGCTATAAATCAAGTTAATAACCCAACTAATATTGCCAACCAATCTAAGCCACAATTTTAATGCAATAGACTTTTTGAGAATACATAAATATTCTATGGTACAATAAGATATACTGTAGAAAATTTCATTAAGATCGATTAAGAGAAAACCAAAGTTATATGTAACTGCGCAATTGGATGGCACAGCTAGCGAAAACATCCAGAATTTGTGTATACATGTACACACACACATTCATGCGCGTCTCCTTCGCATTCCAACAGCATTTTAGTTGGTTTTTTTCTCGGTAATACTTAATTATTAGTGTGGCTGTTAATTAGAGGGAAACTATTATTATTTTTGCTGGTTCGTCTGTTGAGTAGAGTCGTCAGCAAGTAATACGGTTAGTTGCGAGTTCGAACCCTGCCAAGGTAACTTTTTTTTTAAATTTATCTTTATTACTTCAAACGAGCGCGTTGCGCGAACTGCATTTTGGCGTTGGAATAAGAGGGTTCAGGGTATTCCCTAGTCGGAAGCTCCCGACTAGAACCTCTTACTAGTTTACCCTGCTATTACGGAAACGAAGTAACGGTCTATGCTCATAAGCTGACCAACAAAGTATACAACACCAACTGGATGCAGTGCGAAAAACACACTTGCAAGTTGCTTATTGCTTAGATGGAGCATCTCAAGCGGCCTGTTATAATCCATGCTGAGTATTTCTTCAAAGTTGCTTTGCCTATTTTTGTTGAGGTTGGCTAACATGTTTAATGCGGTTCTCCCATAAAAAACCTTTTACATTTTTGCAGACTATCAATAATGCTTACAGTTTTTTTTTGCGCTTTTGCTGAATGTTTGAAAATAAACCCAAGGACTTTTTCTTAAATTGCACTTAATTATGTCGGAAAATTATTAACGTTTAAAAATTTCCATAATAAAATGTTGGCTTAGCTATTGCTTAATAAACACACTATCGACCTACGACTTGCATTTTTATTTAAACGCGCATGAAAATGCTATTTAAATAATATATATATAATATAATATATCATATACTAGAGACTAAACATATCCATCGAGAAGACAGCTCTAAAACGTTGAATATATTTTTTCATTGTCCTGACATCGACATATTTATCAAGACTGATAATCGGAAGATGGATTGAACTTCGAATAATGAAATCTGCTTAACTTGTACAAGTTGGGAGTTAAATATTTTTTTAGGGTTTCTCTGAAACACCAAATTTACAGCTTAAAGGATTGACTAAATTTATCTTTACAATTACAACATTGTTTAGAAATGTCAGCAAAAATACTGACCTTAAATTTTAAATAGAATATACAGGAAAAATATTGTTTGTACTCTTACGAGTACACGCGGGCATGTTGTTTATGTCAGAGTTATCCTTGCACTGACTGCGGCTAAGCCACCGTACTTAAAATATATCAGGCAGAAATTGCGTGACTTATTAAATATACGATTAATACCAATTAACGTTATCATTATGTCAGCATGTTAATGATTGTAATTGCTTTGGTTTTAAAATTGTCAATATGAACACCAATTAAAAAACATAGCAGGGCTGGCTTTCGTAAACAGAGATGGCGAATGGAGCTAGTTCTTATTGCCTAAGCTGTGCTAAGCATTGTATTTAAAGTAAGAAAAGTCCAACCCAGAACAACTATCCTTATGAAAGGGACAAGGGTGAACTACTTCACATCTGAGGTCAGCTTTTATGCCATTGGTGTGGATATATGTACATGGATATATACATATGTATTAAGGGATATTTATAACATTTGTATGAAATTCGGGCTCAGTAAGTCTATAAAAGCAGGTAATTTATAGCTGCAAGCTTATCATTAGGGGGCACGAGTTTCACTTAATATGTCGACAACTGAATGTGCGGATCGCATATCCGGCATACGAACTGTCCTTACAGTTCAACGTTGGTTAGGCATCTGGAAGTGGCGGAATGAAAACGATTCCTGGAGACTACTGAAGAGAATATATCCTTTTGTATTACATTTTCCATTGACATTCACATACATTGCGCTTATGTGGTTGGAAGTCTTCAGTGCTAAAGGGATGGAACAGGCCGGCAATGTTTTGTATATGTCAGTGACAGAGGTGGTTTTAATCATAAAGGTCATCAACATTTGGTACAGGCGCAAACAGGCCTTACAGTTAATGGATGAGCTGGAAAGACATGGACACTACAGATTGCTAAGAGGAGAAATTCAGTTCTGGCGCCACGAACAAAACCATTTTAAGCGAATTTTCTACGGTTATATTGGAGGAAGTTTTCTTGTAGCTTGTCAAGGATACATCAGCGTGTTCTACCAGGATGCATACGAACTTCCATTCGGTTATTACGTTCCCTTCGAGTGGCATAATCCACAGGGCTACTTTTATGCCTGGAGCTACAACGCGGCGGCCATGTCACTGTGCTGCCTTTCCAATTGCCTTCTGGACACGATGGGCTGCTACTTTATGTTTCATATTGCTTTGCTTTACCGCATTATAGGTCAGCGATTCCTTGCATTGCACGAGGCGCCCGAAGAGAAGGCTCTCCCAGAATTACGACGCATCTTTCAGCTTCACCAGCGAGTGCGCATCCTGACAAAGCAGTGCGAGCTGTTGATTTCACCATACGTCCTCTCCCAAGTTGTGTTCAGCGCCTTTATCATCTGCTTTAGTGGTTACCGGCTAGTGCAAGTGGGCTGGCAACGAAATCCGGGTGTGTTTCTGACCACTGTGCAGTTTGTCGGCATGATGATCATTCAGATATTTTTGCCCTGTTATTACGGCAACGAGCTAACCGTGTGTGCTAATCAGCTTACAAATAGCGTATTTAACACGAATTGGTTGGAGTATTCTGTAACCACTCGCAAAGTTCTCAACTGCTACATGGAGCTTCTAAAACGACCCGTAAAGTTGCGTGCGGGAGTATTTTTTGAAATCGGACTACCAATATTTATGAAGGTACGCTTTCCAAAATAAGCTATTAACAGACAATATATTATTCTTATAATTCTATTATTATTTTTTTTTTTTTTGTACGCAGACCATCAATAATGCGTACAGCTTTTTGGCTTTGCTCATAAATTTGTCAAAATAGACCAAGAGTACCAGAACTAACCAAAAGGTTTATAATATTTATAAGAAGTACTAACACAAATACTATTTCAATATATTGTCAAGAACACAGCCTACAATAGTAGTCCCACAACTTAACATATTTTGTATATCTTGCTGCTGTTAATAATAATATCAAAGATACGCTATAAAGCTAAGCAAAGAAACGCCAGCTTTTTAGATGGTCATCACACTTAGAAAATTTAACCCAAGCAGCAGCTAAGGCCGTGCTTTCTGCGCAGCAACGGAAGAGCACCTTGGAAATGTAGCAGACAGACTCGTGAGGACGATAGCAACATTTGTATCAATTCCAATAAATACAAAACAAAATGTAATGTAAAACGGCAATGCGAAAAACGCGTGCAATGCACGTGTTCATGTAGGCTTGTCTGTACCGGAAGTACATTCAAGGAGTTAAACAAATGCGCACATATACACACAGTTGGGAGCTCATCGGGCGCCCAAAAATGTGAAGGCTTCGCCCTTGCCCCAATGCGTTTTTGACTTACCATTTAGGTCCTTTGTATTGTTCGCTGTGCGCCGGATAACCCCTGCCATTGTTGCCAACGTCTGCGTTTGCCCTGTTGTTGATGTTGCTGCCGCCACCGCCACCCCCACCGGGAGCATTTGGCGGTGTGTTTGTTAAATTTAATGATGTCGGCGTTAAAATTATTGTTGCAGCGTTTTGTGCCGTCTCGCCAACATTCTCGCCAACGACTTCAGACGACCCATTATTGTAGTCCTCCGAGAAATTGTGTATGTCTAATTTGGTATGTGATTGCGAAGCGGGACTACCAGAAGTGTTGCCGCATTGTGTCATGTTGTCACTGTGCACCAGTGTATTTAGCTGCACTTTTTGCAGTTGCTTGATGTGCTTGCCTGTAAGTAGCAAACAGGTTTAAACATTTTAAATTGTAGTATATGTTGATCCTAACGGGGGATATATATATATATATATATATATATATATATGTTAAATGCTACCGTTTTGCCTTATTGTCCTTACTGTGCTCTTGTCTGTCTAAGCTGTGATCTCTCAAATTGGTTATAAGTGCCAGAATGCTACATTTAAGCCATTTTGCATTCATCTGTGCAACTCATGCATAACTTAAATGGCAAAAGCTAAAACAAACACAATGGCGACGGCGACGCCATCGACACCTGCAAGCGTCAACAGCAACGCCAGCTTTGCCGTGCCCTGCGTAACCAGCAACCCCCTGTCATGTATCACGTTTAAATTGTAAAATGCAGCCTCAGCAACCTTTATGCTTAAGACGTTGTCCCGAAGTCAGCGCTAAGATGGCAAACTGAAGATTGCAACAAAGATTGACAGTCGCTGATTGCGCCGAAGTAGCGACAACTGTGTCGGCAGCTGCAAAGGTGACGTCGAAAGTAACAAGGAAAGGTCTTGGACTGATTTTGGTTAAAATGCTCCAATTGCCGCTTGTCTTCGATGTCGACGCGATAGATGTGGCATTATAAGTAGTTGCACAACAACCTATCACTGTACTTCAACAGGGACTTCTTAGGGTGGTAGAAGACATAAATATTTCCATAGTTGATGTATACTGCCTCTAGGAGACTACTAGTTAGTTAATAATTAATAATTGAAATGACTTAAGGATTCAAGCTCAATTAAAATTGGCTTATATTTTCAAGAAGGTACCAGTACTGTTACAATTAGTCCAACGTCGATTTTGCTTATTGTAAATAATTGATTTGATTTTTCTGACCGGTTTACCATTCCATTTCCCTGAGCCATATTTGCCTTGACAAATCAATCGACTCGCCAATTATCACAAAGCCCCGATACGATAATTGCTTACAAATATTTGGTGTCAGTTTTTGCCAGTTTAGTATGACTGATTGCGTTAAATGATCACGTGTCAGTTATGGATCAAGCTATCATGCGACTAGCAAATTAGTGAAGGAAGGTTAGTTGATTCTCACATTCAAAATCTTCCAAATGCAAAACATATTTAGTTAATTCCAATATAAAAATAAAAGCTAATCAATTGAGGTATTAAGTAGTAAAATTGAATAAGTTTAAAACAGACTATTATTAAGTAGCGAATCTAGGACTGTGGCATATTTATGAAAAATTTATTTGTGCAATTTGCGGAGTGGGAAATTTTTGAGGTTTCAAAATTTTGGGTGAATCTGGGTGACATTCAGAGCATAAATTAAAAGTCTAGCTTCAGGAATGGCGTATAATATCATCTAGATATGTAAGTGATTCAGTTTAAAAATTAAATCAACAAACATTTCTTAATACACGATTTTTATACTGGCTGACCAATCATTCAAAGTCAACACAATTGTTAGCACTATTGCACCTAGGAAGTCCACAATTCCAAAGCGACACTATAAAAAGATGCCTTTACACAGAATTGGAAAATCCCGATTTATAAATGTTTTCGTAAAAACATGTACTCAAAAATAAGTGCAAATTGTGTTGAATCTATAAGTACAATAAACAATTTACAAATTACACTTCACCACACACTTCACCAAGGTTGATAGAAAACAACTGAGAATAACGAAAAAATTTCTGTCTACCAACCGCACCGAAACGATAAGATTAAATGAAAAAATCTGACTAATCACAGATCTGATGCGCACCAGTCGGCGGGGTACTACTGACATAGCTCCAAACGAATCATTTTCATTTCACGGAAAGCACCGAACATCTATAGATATAGGAGAATATTTACGTTTGTTGCTGCAATATCTTATGCTAATAAAAAACATAAACGAAACTGTCCACTACACTCTCTCAAGCTCACTCGAATGATCGCGTGCCAGCTATACACTCGGGAATTCTCTCTTTTAATTAGTTAAAATAACAACAACAAAAATTCTTTCGATAGAAGCAAGCAGCAAACAAAGCCAATGAACGAGCGATGTTTATATATAAGATTATTTGAATATTAGAAAAAAAGCAGAGCGAAAAAAACAAACTTCGGCGGTACGAATATTAAATACGCTTCGAGGCCGATATATATTTGTGCACCGACCTTTTATACCCTTGTAGAAAGTTTACATATTTTTTCGTGAAATGTGTAACGCGTAGAAGAAGACATCTCCGTCCCCTTAAGTATATATATTCTATATTACCATCAACCGACCCTTGTACACATTAGCCATGCGGACTTGCAAATATGTAAGAGTAGTTTAGCCCAATTAATGCTGAGCATGGTGAAAATATTTAGGGTATCAGTATATTCTGCGATTCAGAAACTAATTTTTCGATAATTCTTCCTATATTATATAAAAGTGCTATTTAATTAGGGTTGGTTTATATATAAGCACTAAACAAGATATCTGGATGTTCCAATGGCAGCAATATGATATAGTAATCCGATCCTGCTAGTTACCACATATCTACAACAGAAACACCGGCCTTTAAAAAGTTTCAAGTTACAATCGGAGGGGCTTATTTGCAACTAAGCCGACGGACAGAAGAACAGACGGACATGGTAATATTAGCACGGCTGTTAATGGTGATCAAGAATGTATATACTTTATGGGGTGAGCATGTTTCCTATGCGTTTAATATTTCATGACAGAATTATAATACCCTCTACAAGGGCATACAAAAAAATATGTACGTTTATACAAATCTGATTCATGGGCTAGAAAAGGGCAATTAGTTGAGCTGTTGTGTCTTTGCAGCAGATAATACACACAACCAAACAACACTGAGTTAAAATTATGTTTACAAGCGTTTGTTTATTAATTAATTAGCTATAATCAACAGTAAATATTGACCATTTCAGTTCGGTACAGTTCAGTTTAGTTGGCCTGCTCTTGGTTCTTGGTATGTACTTGATAAAATATTCAAGTTCAATTCGAATTTCGCGTTTGAAGTGCAACAAATATTTAACATTGTGTTAATTAATTTTAAATGTCTCCACCACGTTATACGACGCAATAACCGACTCCTCTCGCTTGGTTACTTTTAGCCCGAAGCTCCTTTCAACATTTATGAATAATGTACCGCATTTAAAAGTTTTGCGGCGGAGCCATTTTTTCCAGCCTTTCTGTTGCTAGAAATTTCAACATAAATTGCACAAGGTGTCACCAAAGATAGCAAGGAGTGCACACCATGTTGCATGAAGCAGGTAAGACGGGAATTTAGTTTCAGTTGGCTACTGCCATCGGGTGACGGGAATGTGAATTTGTATGTGTGGCCTACAATTGCAATATTTCATATTCATACACTTCACAAAAAACTGTTATGAACTTTAGGTTTGCAACTTGCCAAAGTCATTAAGGTACTCTGAGGCAGAAACTTTAATGTAGACGCTTTTACGTTTTTTGTACACCCACACTGAAGCCGAGCAGAAACTCTCATTATTGCTTTGACTGTCCATTTTAAGATCCGGTTGGTAAGAATTTTCCTCTAACTGCTGTTTTTTACACACCCTGGCCTTCATTGCCATTGAGCTTACGGCTGTTTTTGCCATTTTAACTTGCTTCATTTTCTTCAAGTGTCAAGTGGCAAAGAATAAAAATAATCTAAAGTTTTTTGAAGCAGTTTCTTAGATGAGCACAATTTTTGATTTCAATTATTGCAAAACTTTTTTAGCAAAAATCGAGAAAGTAGGGCTATCTTCTGCACGCCGAAGATTTAATACCGAACCTTTTTATAATGCTTACAGTGCTTTGCTTGTATCTAATAAGCACGGGGAATATAGGTAAGGAAGAGTATGGTAAGGATATTTTGAAAAACAAAAATTTTTTTATACAAAAACGTAATTTTCGACCGATCGTTCCCATGGCAGCTATATTATTTGTTTAAAACTGAAATACTAGTTAGCATAAAAACAGACAGACGGACATGGCTATATCTACTCGGCTGTTGATACTGATCTAGAATATATATATACTTTGTGTACTACAAGAATATATATACATTATAATATACTCTGCAAGGGTCAAGAAAATCAATTAAACCATTTTTTACGCAAAAGGTTTAATATCCTTCCGGCTTTGCAGATAAGTAAGAATAGTGAAGCTCTAAGAACCTGTTTGATAAAAATATCTTGGAAAACATAATATTTTGCCATACAAGAACCTACTTTTCTACAGATCGTTCCTATGTAAGGTATATGATATAGGTGTCCGATCCGGCCGGTTGCGACAAATGTACTGCCAGCTATAGAAAGACGGATCTATGCAAAATTTGAATACGATAGTTCTAAAACTGATAGAATATGATACAGATAATATGTGTCTCCTTCTATACGTTACACATTTTATGAAAAAATTAAATACTCTTCACATGGGTATAATAAAGTCAAATACAACATTGCAGGAAAAAAATTTCGAAAGGAGAGCACTTTAAAAAGGCAAATTTTGTAGTTTTAGGGTAAACGGAAAAAGCACTCATAAGCCGTGTCTTTGTAATTGGCCCAATAACCACAGTTGTCGAGGCACTGCTTTGATTCAAGTAAAATGACTTCGGGCAACTCAAAACCCCTCTTGTGTGAGATGCGCGACGTCGGAATGCCACGGGGACGAAAACGAGTGTGTACAGTCAACGCAAGTGATTCAATGTAAATGGGATCAAAGTAAAACCAACTATGTACATAAGTAGTAAGAAATGGATTTTGTGTGTCAAGTGAAATGAAGCGCCGAGTGTCTGCCTTGGCACTTACAGCGCTGTGTCTGTATGCTGACAGTTTCCTTTTCATTGAGCAAAAAGTTTTCCAAACATCCTGCTGACTTAGTCGTTTCTAATTATTGGGTCCAGCGTATAAATACATATATATACCACCATCTATGTATACTTATATACAGACGTGCATGCAAACATTTGCATGTACCTGCAAGTGCCTGCATTTGAATATATAAGTCCGCATATAAATGTCAATACATACATATGGGTGTATGACTGACTCGTCGCGTTTGTAAATTTATGAATGGTTAGTACGTGAAAGCAAATCGTTTTTCAAGTTACATATTTAAGTAAACAGGAATGGTGAAGAAGCTAAACAGCTATTCATTTTCGCAGGCAGGGGTAAAAACATCCATATGTCACATTTAAAAGACGGCTTAAATGGTCGAAGTCTCAGTGAAACAATTTTGTTGCATAAAAATGAATTTCAACATATTAATTCATCCAAAATAATTCACTATATATATGCTGCGTCATGTATGTAATTACATAAACTTTTGCTCGTATAATAAATAATACTACAGAAACTACTGGCTTTGCTCTTTATGTAAATGTGAACTGAATTTCTGCATGCCAAAAAGCAAAAATTATAAAAAAAATAAAAAAGCGACTGCAAACGCAATGTAACAATAATAATAATAGTTATTTTAGCCAAAAACAACAAGCGCCTAACTATGTTAGTGCCATGAAAACATACGCGGCTGTAACAGCATAAAAAACTTTGGACTTCAACAAGTTGAAAGGCGGCTTTCGAGAATGCTAGACTAGAAGATACCCAGTTCGTATTTACTAAATAAAACATAAGTCTTATCTCAGCAAAACACGTACAGCGTCTTCAAGGACACAAATATACAACATCGCCGCAGCGCCTTGATGGCGCCAATGTTAGGATGCACTACTTTTAAAAAGCTCGCTTCATTGTATAATATGTCCCTGCATAAGCAATATAAAAACCTTATTTCCAATCAAACCAGTAACACCCCAACCAGAAGAGCGCGTGACAAACACTGGCGCACAAAAGCCAAGAATCGAACCAAACACCGGCTGAGCGCGGCAAAAACTTTAAATAAACGTTTGCTCTTTTTCTCTATGTACCCGAGCTTAAAGAGGACACCATCAGTTGGTTGTCAAAATAGCGCCGTTTGCAGTGAAATCGAAGGAATGTCTGTTCTTTTGCCAGTGTCATCCTGGCGCCGATGTCTTTTGTAAGCGACTTGGTCTGCGTGCATCTGATCCTGCGTGCACTCGTTAGATTATACATGTGCATGAAATTCATTTCCGGAGAAAATAATTGACTGCGTCGGAGCTTTGCATTATGCTCTTAAAATTTGTATGTATATGACAAAACTGGAACTATTTAAACTGTATGAGGATGAATCGCTTTTTGTGTGTGTGTGTTTACACATTATTGCACGCGTTAAAGTACAAATAAATAAGGTTACACATTGGAGCATATATATGTATGTATGTACATATGTACATAGGTTAGAATGCAAAGAAAGCAATACACTTACCTGTTCCACTCTCGTTGAGAGGGTTCTGCTGTACCCTGGAATTCGTGTTGGATCGCGGTGGGGGCTGCGGGCGCTTTTGGGCACCATCTCTAGGCCCCATCACAGCTCCACCCAGCAAGTGTTGCGTTTCCGGCTCCAAGTCACTGAGTATGCTCTGTGTTACCGTCCCACTGACACGTCGCAACAATTGCACAGGTGTCGAATTGGATTCAATTTCCTGTTGCACTTTAGAATTGTACAACTCATCTAAAGAGGTTTTGCGAAAGCCCTGCAACTTTGGTCCATCACTAGTCGCCACAATATCATAAACATCTAAATTCACCATAAGTTTAAGTACAATACACACAATTATTTTTTTATTTCCATTATATATTATATACACGCTTTTTTTAAAGCAATCTCTCCAAATAATTTTTTCGCGAATAACAATTGTACGAAATTGTAGAAAATATCGAGTATTTGATATTGCTTTAATCAAATAGAATTGTTTTCTTTTATCATTAACTTACAATGTAAACATTGTATGTTTGCAAAAATATGAGGGAATTTGGTTTTTTATGCATTTGTTATTTTTTTGACATATGTATGTATGTGTTGTAAAAGCGGAAATTTGAACTGTATTTTTAATACACTCTAGCTCACGCAACTAAATCGGATCGATTGCAAACACTGCGCTTAAAGAAAAATACGTGGCCAACGGATAAGCTTTTAAGAGAGCGATTGGCTTTTAGTTTTTCCAATTTAATTAAATCGAAAAATACATACATACATGTGTGGAGTAGTTTAATTTACTTTTTTTAAAAATATGAAATATATATTTTAGTCTTTGGCAGTTTGCAAGAATTTATATGGTATGTCTACATTGTTGAGAATTCGGGTGTTGCATTTATCAAAGAGTAGCGTGTATTGTTATAATTTAACTGTATTATATTTCCAACACATTTACTCACCACTTTCGCTATTCATGATTGTCTAGCACATCAAAAAGAAGAACAAAATCCATGCACACACATTAATATACACATGTATGTATGTATGTATTTATGTATGTGGCGTAATTAAATGATAGAATGCGCGCGAAAACGAGAATGGTGAACGTAACGAAGACGAGAGAACAAATGAACTAAGCGACGCCAGCGGAGCACCGATATTGGGGAACAACTTACAATGGCGGCCGCAGTGTCTGCTATGTTTTCCAAATTTCAACAAACACGGAATCTTATTATTTTTGTTACAAATGCGCTCGCTAATGATTATTAACAAATTAATTATAAACTCAAATTAAACAAACACTATACACATACAATCTACGTATATATACAATGAACGCGGAACAGAGGTGACTGAGACGCTCATCGACAAAAACTAATTGCAAACATATACGAACACACCGAAAGAACAATCGAAGAGCACAAATGCGAGTCAAAAGTGTCATATATTCGACTAAGAAATACCGAGTACTTACAAAATGTTTAAAATCGTCAAATATATTTTAATGATCATATATTTTTATGCTGCCAGAAAATCGTTCAAATGTGAATAAGTATATGAAGGTTCGTAAATAATTATGCACAAATACATATAGGAAAAGATCTTTGTGGCGAATGCATTACCTTATACTCCTCCCACATAATTCTGCTTAAAGGGTATAACAGAGAGAATAAAAAAAAATGAGCGTAATGAACAGCTGTTATTCCAAAAGCTTTGTATGTATGCATGTCGTATGTAAATATGAATATACATGTGTGATACATGTGCGTTATGGATGTGCACCTATAATAGTTTTGAGTCAACTGATTGAGCCCATTGAGTCTTCTTGTTGATCATTGGCACTGAGTCTAGAGTCTACAACCAACAGAATGAAGCACACATAAATTACAATCAGAAATATGATTTGTATGCTAATTAGCTAAAATAACTTTTACGCCCCTGTAGAAGATGTTATGTTTATTGTGTCCGAAACCATAATTCCTAATCAATATTACAGCCGAGGCTATATAACCATGTCTGTTTGTCAATTAGTCTTTCTATGAAGACAGGTCTCACGGTATTGGTCTTAACGCTTTTGATCCCGTTATCTTTATTACTCACGCTTTAATAGCGGTGAGCTTTGATTTTAAGGTATTAGTGCTGGTGTCGCCTTAGCGCAGGCGCATTGGGTAATAAGACTTATTATTTAATGTTAAAAGAAAGGACTGCGTTTATATACACATTTTACATACATAAGTATACATAGATTTTATATAGCTTGAATTTTAGAATGAATGTTAAAGCTATTTAGAATATTTTGCAGATGGTTTTTCCTGGAAAAGTAAATTCCTAAGTAAAAGTAAATCAGAATGAAGGTCCCTAAAAACCCTAAAACAGGGATAATGTTGCCAGAATTATATGCTTAATTTATCAAGGGGCGAGCAATGAAAAAGGACCCACGCCTCGTAAAAATCGGATGAGATTTGACCGAGTTATGGGGGTGGTTTTGACCTATGCCTATATAGGATATACCATTTACCCATGCATTTTGACCAAGAATAATGTTGCCTTATGATTTTTTTACTAATTCATTTTTTTTTAGTTTATACACCATTTACTAAAGAATTGGTACAGCAATTTTTTCTATGTAACAGTCGCCCTCACAACTGCAATTTCAATAATAAATACATATATCTACTGGTGCATATATTCAAATGTTTATACTTATATGCATGTATATATGTGCGAAGCAAAAAACATTAATTTGCGTGCAAGTCAATTATCAGGAAGCAGCGGCAGTTTGATGTTGTTGGTTTTATGCAAATATGTATACAAAAATGAAAAAATAACTCCTCGCGGATAAGAGTTTAATGGGCAATCATGTCATGATGTAGCCGGGTACCTGCCACACCAGGCAAGCATATTTCTAAATGCTTTTATTAATTAAAAATTCAGCTGACTTAACACATTTAAAATTGTATTTTCCATATTTAAAATCATGCTATGAACGAGATGAAAAAATGCAAATATAATTAACATAGTATACAATTCAAAAGGGAAGAAGCTTGTATTTTCACTATTCAAATTTGCTAGAAAAAAATCTGATTGTACATATGTACGTTATGCAAACTATTTTAAATTGCATTCGTGCGAATTTATTTTTGCTACATGCCATGCAAAAATCAGTACACATCTACAATTGAATTTGCAAATAGAAGCATGGCAGTAACTTAAAATAAGAGTTTAGTGCTATTTTCGTTTCACGGTAATATCAAAACCCGTGCAGGAGCTTTGTTTCTTGACGGTCCATGTAAGAAATTCGCCTGCTGCGCTAATCTCTGACCAACTCCGCACGAGGGGCTGAGCTGTGCCAAACCATTTGACCTGTCTGCATTGTGACTCGATGACTGTTTGATATTTCTGCTGGACCTCTTGGTCCGGGTTAAGGTGCCAGAGGAATACTGCATAGCTGTCATTCCGAACTGTGCCGATCGCCACCACAGCTAAGAAAAATGTGTGCACCTGAATAGACCCGGCATCGGCTAATGTTGTTTCACTCAGACTAAGACAGACATGCTTCTCCTGAGGCATCATTTGAATTTGGACATGCAAGCGTTGGCCAAAGGTGCCATAGATGTGCACAGCAGCCAAGTTATGCTCTGCGCTCAGATGCTGTAGCAGCAACCACTTGGACGCGTCTGGGTGCGTGTGTACCGGCGTTTTTATTGATGGCCTGTTCAAAAATTTGGCCAGCGCCTCCGCTTCGGGCTTCCCTTTATGGGTCCCCGCTGATAAGGTCGCCACACTGTTTTTTGCAGCAGCAAGTGCAATTTCAGCGACTGTATCCAACTCTTTTTGGGAGTCTGCGGTGGTCGCTTGTTTGGCGGTTGACATTTTGTTGGCACTGGTTGGCTGGAAAAGTTTCGCCAGGTTGTTGCATGATTTCCCAGTCGGGCAATGATAATTTTGATATTTCTGGTGGCCTTTGCTTGGCTTCAACACCTGCCCCGGTCCCAGTAAGTGCTGTTGGCCATTATTTATGTTTCCAACTTCATTGCTGTGCAATTCGGCTTGATCTTGGCCTGTAATCTGCCAACTTTTCTTACTCAACTTTAACTTTGGTTTAACGAGCATATTGTTGCCGTCCTGTAGAAGCTCTTTCAAGACATTTTCCTTCTTCTGCTCTTTTATCACACAACGTTGCAGGTTTGCATCGTTGACATTATTTCGTACCTGCACACTTTCCTCATTTCCCTTCGGCATACCCAGAACTTGCTTCCTGACCTCCTCCCGAGCGTTATTCACAACTGAAGGCTCTGTGTCCGCCTGCACTTGACGGTCTGTTTTTCTGGACTTTTTTTCCGAATTTGATTTGGGCAATGCCATTTTTGGTTGACTATGATATTCATTTGTGCAATTATTGGCGCTGATGTGATTGTTATTGCATTCGCGGGCCACGCCAGTATTCTTGTCTTGTTTAACTAAACATTAAAAACAAAGAAAAAAGAAAATATATTTGAGCATTCATAAGTATCAATTCGAAAGCGTTTTTAAACTGAAAATTTATCTACAGAAAAAGAGTTACACTTAACCTACACACTTGCACGACTTCTGTTGGCCAATTGAAATTGTCCTTTTTGACTCGTAGCCACGGTAGCCATTTCCACGAGCTTATCGTGAAGGAACTTGCAAATACAAATAAGTACTTAGTAAAAGCTTACATACATAGAAACATGCGCAGAACTAATTGTGAAAATACTAAAGCAATTTTTTATTAAGAAACCACACTTAATTTAGAGGCAAGTACTAAGACCGCAAAGTACCAAGAAAGTTCAACAAGAGCAAATGCATCCGCCTTTTAGAAAAGCAACGTCATTGTTTTCTTTTATTGTCGTTTGTTAGCTACGTTTTCAACTTCACATTATTTCAAGCTAGCAAGTATTGTATGGAAATGCTTAAATTGAAAACTGCAGAAATTCGGTTACGTTGATTGACAGATATTTTAACATATTGTGCTCTAGTGGCCAGAGCTTAACTAAAAGATATCTTGAAATGTTTACGAACAATCTAATTTTGTTGGATATACAATAATAATACGTACACAAGTATTCAAACTCACATTTTTTTTGTAGAATCGAAACTCTTGACCAAAAGAGCAAGCTCATAAATATAATACCCCTTTTCGTCCCCTTGCATAGAGACGAACGGACTACATATACTTTGGATACAGTCCCAAAAGTTTATTATTCCATTCATACCCATTTCATAAGCATAAGGTATAAGATACAAAAACCATCACCGTCATATAAAACAAGCAAAGCAATCTAGAAAACAATGTTAAGAAAAAGTATCCAGAGAGGAGGGCAAAAAGCGTAAAAAACTTTTGCAATTTATGCGACATAATTATATAATAAACAAAAACAACTACAATAAGAAAACAGAATAGACTTTTTATATGATTGGTATATTTGGATGATACTCTAATCTTTAAAAAGTGTTTTTGTCTTATCTCTTTCTCCTAAAAAGGACCTAAGGACTTTTCACTCAACTCTAAATGGATGCTCCTTTTAATTTTTTAATTTTTTTTTTTGTTTGCAATTTGTGCCGAGATTTAGGAAAATGTTGACACCAGCTTCATTTTTTGTCAAACCGCTATTACGGAGGTGAAAACTTTTGCACCGAGCCATTGACAAACAGCGCTCCCTTGTAATTCTGCTGTACCTTTTTCGGCTGTTACGTTGAAGTAATGTGAATGGGAATCTGAAGTTTTTGGCTTGGCTCAAACTAAAGCAAATGCAAATAATGGTCCAAGGCAGAGACATTATACTAATGACAACGCTAATTTAAGCACCATTTTAGGTAGATTACAACCAGATATTCCAAAAGTTTATCCAACAACTGGCGCACTGAAGACATATTAATAGGTTCTCTCAACAACATTTGGCACACTTGCCTGTTTGACTATTAAGAATGAGCCATACTTACGACCATCACAAGGGAAATTCTCCGCCAGCAGCGTAAATAATTTATCCGACAGCAAACACCGTCCCCGTGGCCCCAAAGGCACTCTGCAAACCGGACACTTTTCAGAGCGGTTACGGCAATTATTGCAAAGCACGTGTCCGTTGCAGCACTGCCAGCCAGGTGGTTTAATAACCTGTATTCCAGTAGCCGCAGTTGACCCAATGCAGTCGCAGTAGGCATAATCAAGGTAACCGACGAACACGATGGCGAGGTCAGTTATAAAGTCGCCATCAGCAGGAAGGCAGCATAGCCCAAATTAAATAAAGATATGAAATTATGCAAAGAGAATATTAATTAGAATTGAAACGTTAACAATGATATAGTCGTTGCCCTCCATTTTATAATCATCGTTTTTGAAATTTTGTATTACATACATACATTTGCCAATACTTTAAGAATAAAAGGATTCCATACAAATTGAAAATAAAAAAAAAGGAAATATTACAAGCGGATTAAAATAATATAACTGTATTTTGTGCATACAAAACAGTTTTGCGCTTTTCAAGCTACAGGACCTACAAAAACGTAAAATATCCCGTGCACACACAGAAACATGGGGACTGTCTCGAGAAGTAAAATAAAAATATCAGTAGAGGAATTCAATTGATGCGTTTTGCATGTACGTATTTAAATGCATGTATGTACGTGGCCCTGCCTCGATGTGCACAGGAGCAGCTATAAATATGTAGCAATAAAGACACAATTTTGTACAGCAGCTTGAATTGTTTTTGCCATCATTTACAAATATGAAATTCGATTTTTATAAATGTAAACCGATTTGCTTCCAATCCCATAAAAATAATATAATATATAAGAAAAAAAATGCCTTAAATCAAATAGTCGAGCATATTCCGTGGTGGAAAAGGGGCCAAAGATTAAGTGGGTGATGTTTCGGCTTCTATTTAATTTCCAAGGATATTTTTTAAATTTTTATCTCTTTAGATTTTCATATATTTTTTGTTTATCTAAAATATAATATAATTCAAGACTTGGAATTAAAAATAGTACGAGTAGTGTCTGTTAGCGGGAAATGGTGCCTTGAGCAAAGTCAAGGGATACCCACTAGTCTAGAAAATAACTATTGCAATTATTTCTTCCGTATGCGTTTGCAGCTTATGAAATGTTAAGCTTATGCATATTTAATAGAATGAAATTGCGATTTTGATGTTATTTAAAGTCAACAATAGGCTCCAAAGGAGAGATACAGACGACTAAATGCACAAAGTTGTCTTAATTTGTTATTTATAGGTTGAATTTAGCATTGGTAGAGGCATACTGAAGTATACTATACAAAAGTGTAAATGTAAGAGAATGCTTTTATAGAATTATTGAAAATCTAGCGCAACAAATCCCTTAATAACTTAATGGACTTGCTTGTTTGCATACACATTGGCACAACCTACTTATTATCATATATTCAAATGCATACACATAAACTCTTAATTTAGATACCCGGAAAGTGATGCTTTATTCGTGCCGTACAAAGAGTTTCCAAATACGATATAGAACGCCAAAGTAGGCCGCAAGCCAGACAAATACATACTGAGACACTATTAAAGGGTGCTTTCTATAAACTAAGTTAAGGTTAATAAGCAAATAACGTATTAAGTGTTGGCAGCAAGACAGGAGACAGTCGTCGTGCAAGCAATGTCTTCAGCTTATTTGACAGGCTGCTCCAATAGAACCGGAGTGTCCCATCCAAACCCTATGTAAGTATTTAGTATGTATGTTCGCTTGTCCAAGTGACAAATGCAACCGTCTGTGCGTCTCTGGTTTGCTCTCATGCCACATGCTTAATGCTTTATTTATGGTCAACACATGGCACTGTGTTTTTGCATGTTAAATTTCATTAGAAGATAACTTTAATATTTAAATGCAAGTCAAAATATACCGGGCTGGAGGTGCCGACCGTTTTATTCTGTCTAATTAATTGAAGTTACGTGTTTGCTGACATGGTAGCTATAAGAAATTTACAGATTAGCACTTTTCAACAGCCACTGGCCGTAGCTTTAATTTAAATTCTAGCGCAAGCTTTGAGTACAGTGCCCCGGCACTTGGGGCACTGTGTAGCAGGTGCCGCAAGAAAATGACCCGGCCGACCGTAGTGCCGGTCATGCCTAATCGACAATATTTGACTTTTAAATTTGGTAATCAATCATGCCAGCATGCTCGATATATTTCGCAAAAGTGCCGGCAGGTAGGCGGACAAAGCTAATCAAATCACATGCAATAGCAAACATTTAAGAAGCATACGAAATATATGATTTTGTGTCCATATATTCATACATATGTGCATGTGTACATATACCATATACATACATCACACACAAATGAAATGTTAAAAAATAAAAATAGAGCTTCGAAAATATAAGTATAGGTGAGTAATAACAAAGCAAACGGGTATTAACTAACAACATCGGTCGTTATTTGTAGTCATGACAGCGTCAGGCTGTAAGTAATTGTGTAAACAATACCACGACAGCATACCTGCAGCATGGGCATGGCCACGCAATCACTGGTACGGCTCGACGTTTCAACTTTATACACGGTCAAGTGATTAGCAACAAACTTGCGCAGCAAAATCAACGCAATGCCGGAAGAACAGCATGGGCGAGGGCGTGGCGGTGTATGATGATGCAGGCGGCTCACAAAGGGAAATAAGCGGCAACTGCCAACTAAGTTTTGCGACCAGAGTTGAGTTAGGTTAACTTAGATAATGACGAACTAAAACTAAAACCGGCAACTGGCAACCAACTGACGATGCACGCCAAAAGACCACCGACCTAATCAATATGCAACTCACATGCCCGTTTTAAAGAGCGCCGATGGCAGCATTCACCAATCTCTTGTTTAAATCTCATACAAAAATAAATATATATCTCTATATATAAAACTGTCGGACTGACTGATTGGTGATCAACATACAGTTCAAACCGTAAGAGGTGCGACGCTGTCGTTATATTATGTGGTAAAAATGCACGTTAAGGGGGGGTTTTGGGAAATTCTACTCACAACTGTAAAAATAGCGAAAAACCATTCGGCTAGAAAGTCATCTTTGTGAAAATTTATTTTCTTCGTTTTTCACCAAATTCACAGCTCTTAGATAGAATTGTCAAAGAGCTTGAGGATTCTAACTACAAGACTAACATAGCCGGAAACCGTTAGTTCAAATATGTAGTTCTTTAATCGATAGATTTTAAATAGATTTTTAAATATTTTATAAAAATAGAACTTTAGACGTTAAGTTCAAGATAGTGCGAGTAGATTAAAATTGTCTACTGGCAGAAATGGGAAAAAGTTATATAACATATTTGAAGCAAAAAGATGCAACGGGCAACGCCAGGAAAAACCCCCTTGTACACATATAGATATAAAGAGTATATATATATTAGTTTATTTTCTTACATCACAACAAACAGGACACTCCAGTAGTTGGGCAATATGTTGCAGGCATGTTGCAAACTTTTGCAGCGATTGTTGGTTAAGGCCATGGTGCTGCAAAGGCAAATTAACGAAAAGAAAGAAGAAGTTTAATTTAGCATTTTGAATAAACTTTTTCTATGCTCAGCATAGATACTTGCATTAACACGTGCGCAATAATTTCTTAAAAATACTTGTTTTAAAAAATCTTTTAGTATACCAACTAGCCAAAAGGAAGTGTTTTTTAGGTCAAGGACTGATAACTAAATAGTTTATACAGTAAAGTGCTTGCATACATTCCACACACACTTCAAATATACATTTATTACTATACTATTAAATCGTTTACCCTAGCGTTAAGCCATAAGCATTTGGAGGCTACCTTGATTTAAATTTATATGGATTTGTAATACAGACTGTCATAGAGTACGTTAGTGAGGCATGAGGCATTGTGGTATGTATTTTATTTTAGTTGATTGCATCCTTGTTAAATTTGAGTCAATTGAATTTTGAATGAAGTACTGCATACAAAGTGTCAACTTTGATAAAGTTCACTGGAATATGACTGCCAGATAAAAACCTTGGGGGACAGACACCCTTAGGGCAAAAAGATGCTGCACTTTTAAATTGACATCAATTTTGGAGTGAAATATTTAAGTATGATAAGTTACTTGCATGATGGGTGAATCAGTGTATGAATTTTTTCGGACATTAGAACATTTTGTCAGTAAGCCTTTGTTTGTTTGCCAAAGGTAAAACAATAGGAACGGTAGCCTCCGATGATATATATTGTTGATTTATTGCATAAAATATACTGTGACTTGTTTGATTAACTAACATATATTATATGGCACACACATATAACGAATGTAATAACAATTTTGAAACCATGCAAGCTTTCGGCTTACCACAACATGCGTCGATTCCATCGAATCGCCAGTCGAAATCGACCCGCTTGGCTGCTGTCGCCACATCATCATAGTCACATGCTCAGCGCCGGTACGCCAGTGTTCGCTTAGTCGCTTGGCTAGCTCGCTGATCCTCATGCCTAACACATCCTTTCCGTTTAGCTGCAGCAGCGTATCACCGATGCAAACGCCACCCAACTGCGCATTTGACTCATCCTGCACTCCGCTGACCCACGGATAGGGGTCCCATGGTGCACGACTCAAATTCAAACCCAAGGCACCATTGGGTGCCTTAATAGTGCATTGCTGCAGCATATTAACGGAACTGTAAGAGATAAGGTAAAGATAACGAGAGTTTGATTGTGTGAGCTTGATTTCTAGACATATATATTTACACCTTTTTGACGTTGAAGAGTGAACGTGCAAAGTTTTTCAAGTAATTTATCTAAGCATACACATGCACAAAAGCGTGTGTTCACTGAATCTGACACTCTTAAGCACATCCATATATATTTAAAAATGAGTGGAAAGCCCTATTAATAGTTAAGAGGGCGTAAAGACGGTTAGCGAACCTCAGATCAAGGTCCCGTTTTGTATGCGCCGCACGTACAAATTGCTTACAAACCTAACTCAACGGTTATTTCTTTTCATGTACTATTAATTATGAGAGGGCACTGGACTTTAATATTGCCGCATATAATGTTTGCACCTTCTTGGCAATTCTTTTGCCTCTTGGCATCAGCTTCGAAACACAATTAATTAGCAGGCTGTTGAAAGTTGCACAGTTGCCAACGTCAGACCAAATTTTTGCTTACTGGTTGTAATTAAGCATACGTCGCGTTCACCGCCACAGGCATCGCAAACAAAATAGCATACAATTACGCATATAAATTAGAAGGGGTGGCAAAACTTTGGCATTGCATTCACTTATACAAAAAAGATCGAAGGTATATACTTATAAGCACTAGAAATAGTTGGCCACAGCCACAGCCGGAAATGTGCGAATCAAATAAGCAGCGTCGAAAACTGAGTCCGTGTAATTTTATGAATGAGTAGTGCGGGCAACGCAAGTTCAAGTACATCAAGCTACGCAGTAAGGCCGCTGTGAGCAGCATCCGCTAATGCTTTATAGTTGTCATGGAAAGCAAAGCAATATGTATACCCTGTACTCACTGAAAATGGTAACTGAACAATTACACTTTGCCAGAAAGACGAGCATTGTAAAGCGATTTCAGAGACTTTAAAAATTAGATACCTCAAATCTGAAATTTTGGCTCCAAATGTTAATGCAAAACAACTTTATGTGTTTTTCAATAACTCCTTCCTTTTTAAACATTGAGCGGGTACTAAGACAAAATAGACTGGAATCTTCATAGCTTAGGGAAAGAAGAAGCATTCACATTATCTAAAGTGCTCAGAATCGGACTGAAGGATTTCGTGTATTACGAGTTTATATTTTCATCTATTGATTATCATACTCTTCCGTGTTTGCCCAGCCATGATGTTTTCTACTCCGTACTAAATGTAACTATTATCTAATTACTAACTAATCAGAAAATATTTATTATTTGCAATCTGAAATTTTGATTTATAAGTGTGTAACTTAAAAAGCTACATACATGCATACATGGAAAGACCTGAACACTCACAATGAACTAACTTTAAGTCGAACGAGCGCCCACTTCACTTCACTTCTACCCGACATTGGCCATGAAATTTGTGTGACGTCGAAAACGTGAAGTACTCACAGTCGAAAGGCAAGCGAATGTCAAAATTGTATCAAAACAAAAGCTTAGCAAAAAGTGCCGATTCTGATCACATCGACTTATAAGTAAATCAATAATAATTTAACTTGATTTTTTAGCTTTAAATTAAGTTATTATAAACGCAGAGTAATTGACTTAGCATAGTTTAAATACAAATAGGTTTCAATGCCAAAAAAACGAAGCCAGAACCGACTCAAAATCAAAGTATATTCGCTAGCCGATAGACACCTTGTAGACCCCTATCTTGGACATTTTCTCTCAAACCTCATTAACTCACTTGGACGGACCGAAATAGTTCTTTAAAAAATATTCAGAGGATAGAGTAGTAATTACCGTTAGCAACGATACATATACTGCTTCTGGAGTTATTGCTCGCTGCACTCAAATATAATCGCATATTGAAAGAAATATTCAAATGACGATTACATAAGGTTTTAACATAGACAAAATGTACTAAACCATAAGCAAAGTAAATTTTTCAAGAAAAGCAAATATTTTAGTTAAATCGACCATTTCAAAATCTAAAGGTGCAGTATCCGCAATCTGCCTCCATTAGGCGGAGACTCTTCTTGACGGCACAATAAATGCCTGACGGACGCGTCTACAAAAGGTTGTTTTCACTGTATGAAAGCAAAAACAATAATTTGTTTTTAACGCCAACTCGATGTGCTCCAATAATAAGTTAAATTATTAAAAATTGCAACATTTACCGTTATTTGTAATTTATATATTAAATTAACGAGATTCAGAGTGAAGCTTTATACTTTACTTCACAACTTAAATGAACTAATCATTGGCGCGCGCAAATTATAACTAACAAACCAGATAGACTGCCATACAGCTAAACGCTAAAACAGCTGTTCGCTTTTGCAATGTAAGCAATAGTGGCGGCATACATAAGTACATAAATATATATATGTGTGTACAAGTGTACAATTAATAGGGGTTTTGCCGCTTTCGTTTTCAGCCAATAGCCAACAAGTCGAAACACACACAACTTCACACGAGAATTGCGTCACAGTTACACAAATGCTACAGCAACAGAAAAGTCAAAAAACAAAAATAACGAAACGTTCGGCAGAGACCCAGAAACCGCAAACAGTTAAAACTTGCTGCGCATGCGCCACCGCAATCACTGCCCGCTTTAACAGAAATAACATATACACATGTAAGCAGCAATAACATGTATGTATGCAATTATCTATATATGTACGGTATATGTATATATTTTCAACGCTCATTGATTTTGTAAACTTATAACATTCAGTTCCTGATCATTTTCGTAAGGGTGCGTTGGCGCGCATTGATATTAAACATTTCATTTTCATTTATTCTTGTTTTTTTTTTTTAACTTTAAACGCCAAAACAATAAAATTGCAGAAGGGCTTTGTATCTAGCCACATGTAAGGTCATTTTACTAATAACACAGTCATGCTTACAAAAAAAAAATACAACTGTCTAGAATCGCTTTCAAATAAAGTAACTGAAAGCTTACGCCAAGCCCAATAACAGTCCGTGGCTCTCAAGCACCTATAAAGTTCTTGCAACTTACTTTAACTTGTATAATTATGTACTACTGCTTAAATTATTAATGTGATTAACGGCACACGTTAAACCTGCACCGGTACCGCACTCCCACTTCGCGTAAACGGAACTTGCAAGCGGCACCTGCGCAAACTCAAAGAGCTAAAAGTAAACTGTGGCTTCGCTAAGCAACAACAGACGGCCCGAAGTAAGCTGACCTTTACTCTAAAGCGCCACCTGCAGAAAGCTTATACGGTCGTTAATGCGTAAAGCTTTGCAAGCACTGCATAAGGAAATAAAAACATGAATTTGTTTATTTTTCAAGAAAAAATAATATATTCCCACTTGGGACTGAATTTGTGTATTTAACTAATTTGATTACAAATCTGACAGTAGGTATTTCAAAAATGTAAATTTTTGTATACCATTTGTGTGGCAGCCGCACTTGAAATTAGTTGTTTGCCTTCTGATTAATAAAATCCAATTTTTGTTGTGACCACGCCAATTAAAAACATTAAATTTTATGCTACAAACTTGACAGGTAGTTGCTGTGTTTATTTAACTGACCATTTGGCTCTAAATTTCGTTATTGAGTTAAACAAATTAAAATTAAACACAAATTAAAAGGTTCATTCGAAACGTTAACCGCCCATGTTGTTTTCGGAAGCTTGCTAGGTGCGCGGTACAATAATTAACAATTTTAATGTTTAACATAACCTGCGCGCAAAGAACCAACTAAGTACTTTAACGGCGTAGCGAACAACGGCGTGGCAAAAAACTGTGTTTTTATAATAAATTGTTTTTTTATACATAACACGCGCTACGGTCCATTTATTTAACTAAGTCGTTCGTTCTCTTGGCTGTGCCCCAGAAAAAAGAAAAACTTACGGGGTCGGATATGCTATCTTAGGCGCGCAATGCTTTTATATCAGAATGAATATCGCAGAGTTAAAATCGATATCTGATAAGTAACATTTTTAAAATTTCTATAAAGCGATGTATTTTTCATCACATTCACAACAGCAATATCCGCCAACTAATACAAATCAAACCAACTGTGTAAATATTGCGGGGAGTATGTTATATTAATTTTTATTCAAGCACCGCTAAAAGCTTATATATTTTCTGTACTAATGGATTCACTAATTTTGATGGTGGCAGTTCACGCCTCCGGATGCTCTATACGATTACACTAAGCCGCTCTTCACCTCATATGAACGAGCGTTAACCAGCGTAGCGACTACACAGGGAGACTACGAGCCAAACAAAGTGCGAATCGAGCGTTTAGTAAAAACTCTGAGGCAGTATGTTTATTGTGAGCACGCGTTAAACACGTATCTATTTTGATGCTCCGCGGCTCGTGTTGCTCAAAATACAAAACTCAAAATATTAAAACTTTCGGCTTAGTTTTGACAGAGTTGAACAGAGTAAACGTGTCTAATGCAAGAGCGCAACTTAAATGAAAATGGAAAAAACGCAATTAATGCCAGCAATACCGAAAGGTACCGTCAAGATCAAGAGTCATCCGTGCGTCTCTTAACAATACCACGTGCCGCACCTAAAATTGAGAATTTTGGATTTTGTTTGACGCGCAGCAAGTGGGACCCATATCCTTGGGTATAAACTTTATACCCTCTTTGAAATTTGTCTAAAATTTATTTACTAATTGTATTTGTTTGGTCTAGGTTTGTGAAGTGGCCGCGGGCACACCTGCCTGGCTCCGTGGCCTAAAGGCCGGTGATTGCATTTTAAAGGTTGGTTCGTTTGAGGCTTTTGTCTATGCGACTATTGAATTGTCATTATTATTATAATTACTATTATTATTATTATTATTATTATTAATTATAATTATTATTATTTTTATTATTATTATTATTATTATTATTATTATTATTATTATTATTATTATTATTATTATTATTATTATTTTAATAGTCTAATAGTCTAATAATAATAGACTAATAAAAAATTATATCTCTATGTTACCTATTTACATGTCATAACTTTTCCTTTGTTCTACTGTTAGATATAACTACTAGCTAACTACAAATATTGCTGTTAGGTGTACAAACCAAATGGCAGAGGCATCTTAACAAAAAATTGTTTTAAAAGGCAAGTGTTTATCAAACCACAATATGCGCATTGCAGCCGTTACAGTTTACTTTGAAACAGAGATCCACGTTCAACAGAAATTAAGCAGTCCAACTGCTTTACGTAATATTTACACGACGAAGTCCAGCGAGAAGCGTTTAACCTAACGATTGATTTATTAGTACTTAATTTAACCATTTGATCACACATGTACGACTCTTACCCAACATTAACAGCATAACAGCATTTACAGGATCTTGTCCTAACTAGGTACAACTTATTTTAAAGTATTACACTTCTTTGAAATTTTTAATTTTCAGGTTAACGGTGTAGATATTCTTGGTATGAGGATAGCCGAAGTTGCCCAAATTGTTAAAAGCCAAAGAGATCACGTTACAATTTTGTGTTGGAATAGCGACCATGAATTCGACTGCGACGAGAACGTAAGAACCTTAATAATGGTCACCAGCATTAAACGAATTTCATATTTATTTTTGTATTTTACAGAGCATCAGCTGCGTTCCCATGCCAACCAGTCTGAAACGGCTGGTCATAATTGTAGACAGTATTCTGAAGGCAATAGAGTGTCCTGTGTGCAACTCTATTATAACACCTCCAGTTCTGCAGTGCCAGAATGGACATGTGCTTTGTCTCGAGTGCCGCATTCGCACTGAAAAATGTCCTATCTGCCGTGGTTTTTTCACTCCCATTCGTTCAAGTATTGCCGAAGAGATATATGCAATCATTGCTTTCGCCTTCAAGCAATGCCGACCGAAAGGTAAATTGCGCCAAAGGGTATTTGGCAACATGACGTTAATAAAGGCTAAGACCTGTGATCATTGTTTGACAACTGCCAACTGTCTAAAAGCAAAAGCTCGTAGGATATGCCTTGAATAATCTCCCCCGAGTACCTTTGAAACACTTGGTAGTTGCACGCTACTGACTAAAGCCCAAGTTTTTTAAACTAATTTAATTAAACCTAAGTTGCTTTGTTGCAGTCTCTAAGCTTACCACCTGCTAAATAAATCCACAGCTACTGAGTAAATGACTGACAACTGATGGCCCTCGCAAAGTACACAAAAGCAAATGTTAGGGCTCTTTGTGTTGCAGGAGCTGAACATAAATTCATTTTTTAATATGTAACTATGTAAGGCCTTCAAAAATTTATTAACTGTTTATGACTGAAATGCAGTTTCGTAAATAAAGCAATTTAACGATTCAATTTGAAATATTCTTGGAGTTGGTAAGGACATTGGTACAGCCAATATTATCTGTTTGTGATATGTAGTAAATTAAATACAAGGCTAAGCATCAAGGGAAATAAACGAAGGATACGACACACAGTCAAGACTGACGATTGGACCCGTCTGCTACCACTTTAGATAATTTTAAAACTTGAGTTGAAATAAATTAAAAAATTGCGTAGCTAGCCCAAGCCTGGCTTTAAGTAAACAACCTCAGCATCCAAGTGTCACGCAAGAGGCGATACGGCGCCGTTGTTGTCAGCAACAGTCACTTGTTGGATTCGCAAAAGTGTATGACCACACCGCAAAATTTTCTCTTGTCTGCCCAATGCAGGCTCAGATTAAAACGTCATCAAAACCGGAAGTGGCAGTTTAATTTAAGCGCGTTAATTGAATTCTATTTTCCGCTGTGGCGGTGTTGTGATGCGGGGATTGATTTTCTGATGATGCTTTGTGATGCTGCTGCTGCTGTCGTCAACAGTGCAGTAGCCAGGCTTCGACAAACTTTAATTACAGAATCCATGCTTTATTATGCAGGCTCAATGCTGGCTTCACGTTGCCGTGCAAGGCAAAATCTTTTAGGGAATGCGAATGAAAGAGGAAATTGTGTAAATTACTTCTATTGTTACATTTAGCACCATCAATTTTCCCATTTTTCCTTTTCGAGTGGCTTGCACTGTTTATAACATTGAATTCTGCACACTTTCTAATTGCATTTCATTATCAATTGAAAAAAACGCACCCACTTTAATTGTTTTCCCCAAGCAACATAAACAGGAAAGATAGCGATTTTGCAATTATTTTAATGACATTGATAGAAAATAACGCTTGTACGATAGAACTAAATATTTTAGTCCTCATTAATATTATTAAGTGGGTTGATTACACAATCATATTCAAGATTTTGATTGACATCTTAGAAAGACGCAAGATCCAAGATAAAGCAGGATTGTTTGTTTGTTTTGTTTGTTTTAACAAATTATTAACAAAAAAAACGGCAAAACTTACAAGTAATGAGTGATACAAATGACCAATAAGCAATTTTTCGTCTCGTGGTGGGGTACATACAAACTCAAATTAAGGATGTGTTTTACTCGGCGTTTTACGCCCGGGTATCGAAACGATGTGGCTACCGCCAATGCCGGCGGAGTGCAATAATTTTGAAAATCTTTTAATGATGCAGCTGCTTCCTAAAAGAAGCCATACATTCTTGGAAAGTTTCTAAAGTGTGGGTGCCTTTGTTACCACCTATGCCGCCGGTGGCTTAGTTTTGGCTGCTGCTGCTAGAGTTAATGCGTCTGTTGCTGCCTTTGAGTACGACAGCAACGAACATGTGCGGTTGTCATAAATTTAACGCCAAAAGAGCATTTTAAGCACGATGCTAGCAACAATTCAGTCCAGTAAGCCTTCTAATTACGCTCATGGAAAAACTTGTTTTACAAGTCTGATGTATGTAGAAATGTACAAGGAAAACTGTAACATTACTTACGTGCTTGAATATATGAGTTGGAATATATAAGAACTATTGCTGATTTCCATAACTTTTGCGATGCATGACGGAAAATAAAATGTTGGCGGATGGGCAGCATTTTATTTATTTTAATATTTCCCTTGTGCCAATATTTAATGTTGTCAATGGAAATCATTTATTTAATTAAGAATTAAAACGTGACGCAACTGCTAGACAAATTAAAAGAGGATCCCAATATTGTTAAATTGCTTGGATTCGCGATGAATATTGATGAAGCTGAACATTTTATGAATTATAAAACAACTGACAAAATCGCGGTGCCAACGTTAACTTAATTACAGATCAGAAACATGTTTTTCGTTATCCTATTGCTCCCATCCTCGCCTGTTCTAGCTATGTTAATATCTTTAATAATTTTCATAGACATCCTCCAAAGCAGAAACTTCTGTTAAGGTACATTTTTTGTTGTGATTTATAGTTGAAGCATCATTTCTTAATTAAAAAATCCTACCGGCATTGGATGTCTCTATAAAAAGTCCAATAGCTGTTACACATTAAAAACTTAACCATTTACAAAAATTTGCAACTATGCGCGAGAAGCATTCGAAAATGTACAACAACTGGGAGCGAAGACATAAATTAAAATTCATTGATTAGAAAATTGTAAATGCATGGAATTTCACAATATCATCCTACAGCAATCTCCCTATTTGCATAATTGCTAACGAAAGCGCCAAACGCAAACAAAATCCGGATACTGGCCTGATGTCAGTTTTGCCGGCCGACTGCTGGCCAACCCTTTCTCAGGGAAAGGCGAGGAGCTATATAAATGAAAAACTAAGCGACGCGCTTTTGCTTGTGACCTTCGTGGGAGGGATGAAATGTATTCACGTTTTGGCTGATTCCAGCTACCCAACCATGTACTACCTCTTTATATCCTTGTTGACGGCATTTTAATTTCGTCACTAAAACTGTAACATATTGAAAGAGATATTAACCTCAATTAAGAGCATTTGGAGCTGTGTTAGTAAAACCAATTCCGTCTGTCCGATTCTATGAAGCTATCTGCTTAGTTTTGTTCAGTACTAAGATTAGAACAGTGTTCTAATTTGAAAGGGTATTTAATCATCGGCATGGCGAAGAAATCTAATCTTTACTGTTTTTAATTAAAACAAAAACAACTAAGAGGCTCTAGTGGGGAGCTCCCGACTAGGGGATACCCTGAACCCTCTTCTTCCAACATCAAATGCATATATATTTTCTATTTTAGAAGCTATATGTCAAGTTTGGTGACTCTAGCTCTTATTATTTACCAAAATTGCCCAAAATACAGGATATCGATATCGATTTTTATCGATTCCTGGAAATGGAGTAAGTTATCGATTAGCGGAAACAAACTCGATCTGCGCGGGAACTAGGAGCATTTACATCTAAAATTTCAAGTCTCTAGCTCTTATAGGTTCTGAGATCCTTGCGTTCATACATACGGACGGACGGACTGCCAGACGGACATGGCTAGATCGACTCGGCTATTGATGCTGATCAAGAATATATATACTTTATGGGGTCGGAGATGCTTCCTTCTGCCTGTTACATACATTTGGATTTTGTACAAATACAATATACCCTTATACCCATTTTTAATGGGTTCAGGGTATAAAAAGAATAGAAATACATATTTTTACACATATTAAACAATTGTTGCCATATTTTCTTACATTAAAAATGTTATATGCACATAAATGTTCTATTTGAAAAGTTCTCTTATAAACTTATATTTCTTTTGGTTGGTTTAGCAGTTGGAAGCATTTAGCACAGCGCAGTGTCATCTTCATAAAAATATATTACCTGAAGCGTATGCATTGAGAGTCCGAAATGGGACTGCGCGTGCTCGTAAATATTTAACCCCATGGAGTATTATGATACACACTTGCTTGCAATTTTTGCACTTTAACCTCAAAAACAAAATCGTGGGCCACTTGTAGCCGCAGCAGGCAGTCTGTTATATGAAACGCGAAAGGTCAAATTTGGGCTGCTGTCCATGTTTTATGGATATTTTCGTTTTGCGCTGCATGTTGTGCAGCACTGCTTTTAATTGCTTTACATTTTGTTGTATGTTTTTCAGTGTGTGGACGGGTGTTTTTTGTGTGAGTGGTTGGTAATGAAGACCATTCTCGGTCTGCAAATTAACTGTCACACTCGGAGCGCTTTTAAATGCATTGTGTGGCTCATTATACCCCCCAAAACATCGCTAAGCATATTTAGTATTATTGTCGTACAACCAAAACAGAGTAACAGTATGGAGATAAACGGGAGCGTCAGGCAAAAGCAATTTCGGGTTTTTATACCCTAAACTCATTGAAAATGGGTAAAAAGGGTATATTGTATTTGTGCAAAATCCAAATGTATGTAACAGGCAAAAGGAAGCATCTCCGACCCCATAAAGTATATATATTTTTGATCAGCATCAATAGCCGAGTCGGTCTAGCCATGTCCGTCTGTCCGTCCGTCCGTCCGTCCATATGTATGAACGCAAGAATCTCAGAACCTATAAGAGCTAGAGACTTGAAATTTAAGATGTAGGTGCTCCTAGTGCCTGCGCAGATCGAGTTTGTTTCCGATAATCGATTACTTATTCTGTTTCCAAGCCATCGATAAAAATCGATATCGATATTTTTGTTTTTTGGACAATTTTGGTAAATAATAAAGGCTAGAGTCACCAAACTTGACATATAGCTTCTAAAATAGAATATATATGTATTTGATGTTTGAAGAAGAGGGTTCAGGGTATTCCCAATATTTTTTACTAACTCAGCTCGACTTGGAAATAGGCTGCATCCTACTCCAAACTACCAAAAACACACGTGTGAGTGTGTACAAGCATATACGACAAGTACCAATCACTAAATGCATTGTGATTCTGTGACCCTTTTTGCTTTTTCCCCATACGTGCTCATACAAGTGTATAAACGAACGGAGTGACATGATGTTGAGAAAGATATTCTTGCTTGTATATAAATATTTACTTTACAGTATTCGGTATTTACCTGGCAATACCCAGGCTTTAAAGAGAGGTAGGCTTAAGCTTTAGAAAAATTGTCCGCACCGCCTCTTCATTGTATTCTCTCCTTATTTTTGCAAAATAAAAGAAAGCACTTGCATTTTATGCAAAGTGCTATACATTTAGATAATTTCTTTCAGAGAAAATTATTTATTTATATTCCATCATTGTTGGGAGCAATATTACGCTAATTTATGGCGTATTACTATGTAAATTTGATCTCTATATATATTTCTTAGCCATTTATAAAAGTATTAGTGTATTTTTGTAATTCTATTGAGAACTAAGAAGTACAATCCTTGTATCTTAGAAATATATTCATAGTTACTGCTAATTTTCATTGGGAAGACTTTTTAATCACTAAAGAAAGTAAAATTGAGGAACTTTATGCGAGTCCTTTTTCCTTGGCCTAATTTAGGCCAAAACTTAT